TAACATCAGTCGGTTGATAGAGATCGCAAACTTTCACAGCGTCTGCCGCATGCTCTCCTCCATCACGGTTCTGGGTCCGGTGGCGGAACTGAGCCAGGGCGGCCAAAGACAGTGGCTCACTATGTTAAACAGTCGGCCTACGCATGCCACAGACACTTGGACCGTAAACAGTAGGTCAGGTTGTCACAGAAACAAGAAGCAGTCAGCCCCGATTCCAAATGAGTGGGAGTGTCATAGAGACCAAACTTCGAAGGAGTCATTACAGCCTAACTCTCCTCCCTGAGAAATTCGAGTTATATATTCAATCTATAGACTTCCGAAACACGACGTTTAGCGCATCATTAGAGTTTAAAAGTGTGTCAGGTTGTTTATAGAGAGAAGATTTGCTGCAGGACCGTGGGGGCGCAGTCGCCAGAGTCGAGCTCACACTCTATTTCATCTCACAGGCACCAGCGCATTGTCCGAGCCGGTCAGCCACCTGGTGCGGAAATTAGATAGAAATGACTGACACGGCGCCTAGGCGTACCACTATCCCCTCATGAGCGACATTTCTTATGCGATGCGCGCACTTGGCGCAGCTATATTAATGCTTGCCGTGCCCCCACCTGTCCTGCGTGTTGGTCCGATGCATATCCGACGTGACCCGTTGTAGGGGCACGGACAACGAGTTGACCGAGCACAGTACGACCCGGAACCATTCTCTTGTGCGAAAGAGTGACTAACAACTGTGATCTCCGTGGGCAAAAGAAGCGTCCCAGAGCACCTTAAAAAAAAAACAGAGCAGACCCGAATGTTAACATGAGTGGAAGAAGTCTGGATAAAATACAGACAAATACCGCACAGCCAAAGTAGGTCGCAAACAACCATGAAACCCTCGTAAGCACAAAACGATGCTTTAATTATGCCATGACAAACCTTCCTGAATCCAAATATGAAAATAGGATTGGCTACAGCGTAGTCTTTGCATATAAAATGGTTCAAGGGGCACTCGAGGAGATCGCAGTAAATGCATCGCCATAAAGGACATGCCTGTCAGTTTCCGACACCGCACTCCTAACAACCGCGGATCCGTGTAAACCATTTAGAACGATAATCTGCTAGTTTCGGTGTAAAAGGTATCCATGCCTTTCTACCAAGTATTTTGCGCTCTGACATGGAAGCTTCATGGTTAAGTTGGATCTGTCCCAAAACCAAATGAATGACAACGTATTACCAATTAGTGAACCACAACCTCCACTTAAATTTACTGGATATTTACAACGAATTCGTCAGTGTCGGGCGTAGGTCCAGTCATACCTACTGCCGAATAAAGACCCAATAGGACCCGGCCAATCGTTCTTACGCCAGTTTTCCCGAATTCCTTAAATTCCATCCCATTTGAAACTCTCCCTCACTTAATGCCTATGACAGTCTCTTAATACCCGCTGGCCTATAACTTCGTTCCAGCCCCATTTAGTTCTATGCTGCCTATAAGTAACCTTGTTTAAATGCCAAAATATTCCGATATTAGAAAACTGTATTCTCAAATCGTATAGATCTCTCTTAACCATTCGTTGCTGACTATCCGCATACGAACAGGTCAGGGTGTTGGCAATAATTCCATAAATAGTGCCCCTTTTCAGATTAATCGTCCGCCTCCAATTATTTTACTAAGTACTTTGATCAGAGGCGCACTCCTCGAAACACCCAAAATGCTATCTCACTGAATGCTAGACCCGTCATTAGTAAGATGCCCCAGCGCATAGTCCTTGCTCTCTGGACGAATCTCGATGCAATACACATGACCTGCCCTTTGTTCCCTAAGAAGGACTTCGAGGTCGGTAATCAAGACCACATCTGTGGGAGTGGTAATTTTTGCATTCTTTATGCTGGACTCCCCTTTAAAGCACTTTACGTGTGACCTTAATGTTCCTTCTTACCCTGAAAAGTCCTGTCTCGCACCAAAGGAAGACCTTTCACTCAGCAACCATGCACAACTTTGCGATATCTCCAAACTAACTTCGGGATCCCCTCTTGACCTTAAAACAATCGTTGATCTACACCCCCAAATTGATTGACTTTCAGCGGTATGATGGCGCTCACCGATGAGGTTACAGGACGCGCTCATTCCGACTGACTTTAACACTTTGGTCACTTTAGGTTTCGGCCTTTTTATGGTATTTTCAATGATTGTGATTGATCTCAGTTGGTTCACTAGGGAACCAGAAGCAACCCAATCGGAGACCTTATTTTTGCTGATTTATAACAGGACTTTTGGAAATTGACCAGACGTTACTAAACGGTTACCTTCTACTTGCCTTTTCAAAGAAGGTCAGCTCAACCCCAAATTACAAATGTTTCGGGCTCACAGGCATAGACTTACTCAGCAAGTTTTTTAAATTATTGGACTGACATGGCTCTCCCTCCACTGATGGTGCGGCCGTTCTTTTCAACTTTACGCTGAATGTAGCCTCGTCACCGATTCTTTTGACAAAGAATAACTGTTTGTTGTCTTCCGAACCCAAGCAGATCCCTTCCATTCGCAAACGTTCAAGAGAGATTTATAAATACCATTACTGTCTTTGATGATCGAAGCAACAAATAAGTCGCTTAAACGACTCGCACTCCTCTGGAACGGACGGTTTATCAAATGCACTTATCGTAAAGGTGCCAGAATCTTCCTGACTGTTTAGTTACCTATTCTGGGTCTCTTTAAAGCACTTCCATCCGAAATTTGGAATTCAACGGTCTTGTATTTGGAGACCCCCATTCGAGCTGTCGACATTCCATGCTGTTAAGCGACTGCTAACTCCGGGTCGTTTGGCACCTTCTTATTTCGCTATAGTGCCCCCCCAAACGGGCCACGTGGTAGATGCGCTGGACCAACACGGGGGCCATATTGGACTCTGGCCGGCGTTATCGGATTTGCACATCATAACAAATGCCAACATTCCGGGGTACGGGGGCAGAACCGGTTGCCGGCAGACGTCGCGCACAGTGGGACCCCTTCCGCCCCCTCCCCTAATATTTTTGCTGGTCAAAACCTGGTCATCTGCTGTGTGGACCAGGGGTGTGGGGTAGAACGCCAAGGTGCGAGATCGACCGCGTCATCCACCTGCGCCCTCCCCCGCCTCCGGTCATCTGGGATCTGTCTTGACACTGAATCCAGGTGGAGAGGAAGAGAGAATGCGGTAGATGCTAAGCAAGTCTGCTAGCACTATAAACTAATTTTCGCAAAAGTCACCGTCCCTGCTCCCAACCTGCTGTGGAGCACACGCTGGACAGCGTCGGATGAGACGGTCGAACTATATATCGCCATAAACAAATTGTCCTGGCCCCCCTAACCGGCGAATCCTTCGGTCAGCAGAGAAAAATACTGGTCACCTCTATCGTGTCTTGGGTTCATACTCAGAATTATTTCCAGAAGGTCATCTCCCTGTTTGACAAGGAATGCTTCGAACACACAGACATTCGAATCGGCGTCTCCGTTCAGTTTCGCTCAAATCCGTTCTCATCCCCTGGGCGACATATGTTTTTTACAATTCTCGACCACTTATCATCATTTTATGCTATGCAGGGATATTCGAGTTCAGACATTCCGAATGGCATCCGTATCTTTGCTTGAGGGTTTTCTTATTACTCGTGAACTTCCTAAGATCGCTCCATGCTCGATCTTTCGGAAAGTACAGTAAGCAAGCCTTCAGTAGAACAATCCGCATGAGAACAAAGCGCATAATGGAATGTCGACTGAAAATCGGAAATGTGTTTTCATTTCGCAGAGACTACTTAAGCAGGGTTGTAATATTAATTATTGCGCGGCACACTGCCCCGATATTCCAGTCACGCCAGGATGCCGGCTCTCGAATGAGCTACTTATCTACCGATTGCATAAGCTATATTACACAAGAAAGGATCACTTAAGTAGCATGAATTTTTACCACTGCTTTTTGATACCCTTATTTCAGACATATTTTGTAGAAAACATGCATAAAAGTATTCTTCCTTTCGTTAATTTGGCAGCAAACTACCTCTTTAAATTTTGAACTCGAAGGAAGAGTGTCTTTCGGCTTTAGAAAACTTTCTCTATTCCCGAGTAATTTTGAACCCGACCTGCCGTTACGCTTGCATTCCGGGTTTCCGCACTACCGGCTGCATACTTTTCATGCAAGGAAAGTCATACATTTCTAAATACTATTATAAAGAGGACATATAGGGTTCATAAAATTATGCAATGGGTATGGACCATGTTGTCCACTTTACAAGCAGCATTGATAAATATGCTCATGTGGTGCTGTATAATGGACATTTCACGGTCTTAAAAAGTTCGCAATTAGGAAATTTTTAAAACAGAGAGCTACCCTTCCCACAAGTAAAGAAAATAAAAGAAAACGTAATTTGCTACAAAATGAGTATAAGAAAGGATATTTTCGTGCATGTTTTCAATAAAATATATGAATTAATAAGAGCGTCCGAATCGATGGGAAAATGCATGGAAGTTAAGTAGTTGTCTTTACGGAACGTAGTTTACGCAGGCGGTGGACAAGGTGCTCGATTGGAAGTCGCCATCCTGACGTGACTGGAATATCTTGGTATTATGTCACATGACAATTAATATCACGAATCTGCCTAAGGAGTCTTTTAGAATCGAAAACGCATTTCAGAATTTCGGTCAACATTTCATGAGATAGCGCACCTACTACACATGACAGCCTCATCCTTGCACCGAACAAGAGACGTTTTCGTACAAAAAAGTGACGCAACGTCGCATATGACGGTGAAAAATTGCATAAATCAGGTCCTAATTCACAAAGTCGTACTGCATAAGGCTTGACAGACAGTCCAGTCCCTGTCAGCCTTAATTCGCTAGCCACAAAGATCCCGGCTAGTCAGCTTGTCAGACAATCAGGTGCAGCGGAGACTGAGTTTTACAGAAACGCGATAGAACTTTCTGACCTTCCTTCAATAACAACTAACCGACAAAAAGGATAGGAGTGGTTCGGTAAAAAGTATATGTATGCAATTTACAAGTTTCGGAAAGTCCGATACGTCGCCCAGTCCATTCCTGAATCAAGCAGTCCTTTAGAGGTGATTCTGATTACCATATTGCCTTCTGTAATGTCGGACTGGACAGGTCGGGAGTCCGTAACCTCGGGGGATCCCGATCTCGAAAATGTCGGCATCAAAACACACAGGTAGGAGGAATTAACCTCACCCCGGGGACCCTCTGCCGTTGAAGGATGGCCAAAAGCTGTGAGGCGGAGGGGTGGGTGAGTGGTATGGCTGCTCTTGAGGCGCTCGGTGAGTTCGAAAGAGGCGGCCGGACCGCCGTCGCTGCCACCGCCACCGGCAGCAGCCAATCGGGAGTTGGCTTCGTAAATGCGACCGGGGAGACCACAAAGTAGGGGATGGCGTACTCCACGGCTGCAGGAGGCAAACCCGATGCACTGCATACCGTGCTGTACGGCGTGACAGCCGCGCTTTCGACGCCCACTAATTTTGGTTTCCAGTAGGTTGAACGAACGAGTGAGCTAAGAAAATACGGACTGGGTGAAAGACAGCGTTTGTAGGCGCCAGGAAGTTGGGTTATCAAAATCATGATCATGCGTATACAGTTCATTCGTTGGACTCGACGAGGACTACCGTAGCTGCTTGAAGGGACAGCGGTGACATCAACATGATTCGGATTATACTGAGGGAAACTTGCGTGGAGCTGACTCCAATCTCTTTCAACGTCCACCACGTCCCAATGGCAAAGCAAAACAAAAAGGACTAGAAATGGGTGGGGTACAATATTTGACCGGAGCAACTATGTCCCTGTGTACATGTGCTACATGCGTGGTGGTCCTCACTTCAAACGAACCAGACCTTGGTAGATTGGATCACACATTGGTTAGAAGTGCCGAGGGCTCGGAGTAAACAATAGACGTTGCGAGTTAATCCATGCTTAAGGGACAGAAGAATCCAGTTAATTGGCAATCTTCTAAGTCGTGACTGCTGGCGAGTTAAGGTATTCCGCAAACGCATCTGGCTTATCAGTGACAAAAGGTCGCGTAGACTCGACCCCATCCTACCTTCCCTATCATATCAGGTGCCAATGCTTGTCCCTAGAACAAGGCACAAGATAGGTGCGCTTGACCAACACGAGGTTAGATCGGGGTGCAGTGGGTGTTATCGGGAATGCGCACCCATAACAAAAGCCAACATTGCGGGGTGTGGCGGCAAGCCAGTGTTCAAACCTAAGCTGCGCCCATTAGGGTCCCTGCCGCCTTCCCTATCTTTTCTTGTTGTGAAAAATCCTGGTCAGTGCATGTTGCGCACCAGGGAGCGTGGTGGTTCGCCTGGGTGGGGGTTTGCGCCGTGCCAGCTAAATGCGCCCTCCCTCGCCTCCGGTCTCCTTGACTCTGTCTTGACACCGCGTCCTGGTGAGGGATGAGGAGTAGGAGGAGGACGACGGGGTGGTGTGGTGCGGATGCAGTGCAAGTCTACTGTCGGGTGTTAATGGCATGACCGAGTCAAGCCGACCACATGAAATCACACACGACAGATGGCGTGGCAAAAAACTCCACTTTACGAACGTCATACACCTCGTTGGCCCTAGTTTATATCTGGCACAACGGCGCCACGCCTCTTTGCTGGGACCAAAACTTACGCAGACATTTCCACCAGTACAACCATATCTGATATCGCTGGAAAATTACTTAAAGTGATGGAGTTTGCGTATCCCGGAAGGACAGTTAGGTCGAGTCAAAAGATGATAGCGACAGAAGCATGCCGGAAAGTCATAGCTGTCAGTCGGATAGGAGCTAACGAGAGAAGGAACAGAAAGAGTCCCAAACCGGTGATGCACGTAAACGAACTTTCTGAACAGAAACAGAGAAAAATCAACTCCTACCTGGAAGTCCACAAACAAGAGTTCATGCGCTTCATATTTTATGGGCTCAACAACAGCAGCGTTTTCTACCTTTGACCTCTTATTGGTTGGCGGTAGGCAGTAGCGGAACAGATGGTGACCCGCGGCCAGACCGATCACGCATACTTTATTAGAATGCTGCATTACGCACAGGTCGTTGCCAGGCTCGTTGTTCACATCACAGAAGTAGCGGGTTACAAAGTACCGGTCAAGGAATGCTTGCGTCAGAGGGACCTTAACAGAAGTTCCGCTGTCAGCGTTGGAGATTTCATTGGCGTTTTTCCTTGTATCAGACACTTTCAAGTATGGCATAAACCATTCTGAATTGGCGAAGTCAGGTCCAGTTGCCATTATATGACCTAGTTGAAAAAACAAGAAGTAAATTATTAGAAAGAGTTAACAGTAGTTGGTGGACGAATGGAGATAGACGAAAGTTCTGAGACAACAAATATTAATGACAGGTCCGACACCTCGAAAAGCTACAGAAGTCGCGTCCACAGATATCATCAGTCTCCCAGAAGGAAATAAGGTGAGATCGATGGGATTCAAAAAGATCCCAGTTGTAGGAACATTTAAAGATTTTTGAAAGTAAGCTATGCAATGAGGAAAATCAACAGAGAGCGGAAGGTGGCTGCCTGATTTGGACGTGAGTATTAATTCGAAAGTAATAGAGGGTGGTGCATAATCGCGCTATACGGGACTAATTTAGTCGATTGCGACGTGCCGTAGATTCCGAAAAAGTGCGCTTTCTATAGCATTAACAGGACTACTCGGAGGCGCACTAGGCATAACCTTGATAAACGCTGCCAGCAGTGCTACAAGGGAATGGAGGACCGCGGTCTGGCACTCCGACGATCTCATTAAGTGGCGTAAAGCCCGATGACGGAACTGTGGCATTGCGACCGCAAACCACCATCAGATAGACTTGCTTGTCATCACTGCCATGAGGTTAAGTAGTCGACGTCTTAAAGGAGGCGATTTTGGACAAACAAACCCAGTGACTGTTAGGAACTACCTGTACTTACACTCTCAAAAAGTCTCGTAAAAATGTGCGTTTTATGTATTATGGCCTATGTTGTTGCGTCCGCGGGAACCGACGAGGTCCGTAACTCCGGTTTATGGTTTCGGGTGTCGGAACGCGCGAATATTCCTGGATTTTGTTAAGACAATCCTGATGACGTGCGATCTTCGTCGCACGACGTGAATGTATGCCGCCTGTATGAAGTCCGGGTTCCCGACTCAAGCGCTCGCTAAGTCAAGATCCGGGGTAAACTTCCAAATCAACCCACGCGACTCTTCTGGTAGATCGCACATTCCCAACAAACGAAACATGCACTGCTGGGGTGGGGGCCAGCCAAAGTCAGGCTGGCTTACGTAGGACTGAAGCACTGCTTTACGAACAGCCCTGAAGTCTTCGTGTACGCACAACAGCTGTCGACCAACGCCCTAAGGAAGCCTACTCGCAGCTGCAAGATGCAGTTAAGAGAAATCCCTGCCGTGAGCTGCTGATAGCTGTCGAGGACCACAATGACAGGACTGAGTCAGGCGACAGTGATGACTGAATGCTGAACTTTGTCTGCCAGCAGCTTCTGGTTGCCATCAACATGTGCTTGCAGCCTCGCTACAAACACCTGCTGACCTGTCATTCAAGCGATGACAGTCATGACAGCAGATCGATGCGTGGCGCCGGAACTGACAACATCCACGGGTCAAACCATATTCTCCTTTGCACACACGTGGAAAACCATCTCTCGTCCACACTCAAATCATCACTAAAAAGACATTTAGAGTTCACAAAACTACGACAAACCAGCATTACTGAGGCCCTGTGCACAGAAATTTGGTCTTTATCTACGATTCGATTCAATGTGAGTGGCACGTGGCCATTGCTGAGGTCATCAGTCTACGAAGCAGATGAGAAATCCCTTGGAATCGTCCAGCGGTGCCGCAGTTACTGGGTCGGCAAAAGGACCTTACAATTGTCTAGCCTGACGACGACTATTCCCTTGTCATACCTGGGAAATGGAGACAAAGTCGGCTAGAAATGACCCCAAAAACGATTAGGCTGAGACAATGAACTTCAAGTACCAAACCACAGGCGCCAGTGAGGTTTGAAAACTCTACCGAATTATCCGTTGGTTTAGCTGTGGTCCTTCTGCGTCGACTCTATTCGTGATGTAAGTGGCGGCTTCATTACCGACAACTCGGTCAAGGTCAGGCGGAGGCGCTTCGGGCATCTTTTAAATCTCAGTGGCCAACCAGTCACATTCTCAATCACCTCTGCAGTAGAGTTGTATCTCCCGCCATCCTATGCAGTATCATGCGACCCCTCGTCCCGGGGAGAAACAGACCATGCAATGCGGAGGCTACGCAATAACGAAATTATTGCCTAAATCTACATGTCCTGCATCGGCACTAGCCTCCTGGTTCGACCAGGTGATTGAGCAAGGCATGGGGAAATGAGTTCGTTCCTGATAACTGAGACTCGGATATCCTCGTGAGCATCTTCATAAAGGGAGATATAACAAAGTGCGCGAAACGCTGAAAAAGTCTTCAGCCTTCGCTCTCACCTACTGGGCATTCCTGCGGTCAGTCTCTACGTGTGTTTTCCAATGCGCATAGAAAAGGAGAGAAGACTGAGGGTGTTTGACCAACGCCTCCTAAGGTTGATTCTTTGTAAAAAGGATGCTAACTTCTCGAATGGCACTCGCCACGGCACGGTGGGGATCTCCTAGACCATGAAGAAGCGCGGCTTATGGATTTAGTCCTGCTGATCTAAATGTGATCCCAGCGACAAACTGTAGATGAGGAATAGGTCAGCTAAAGGAGTGGCTTAACACAATGCAAAGACATGGAGGTGATGTCTGGACCTTCAGTTTTCGCCTCCAGCTTTGCCACCGCTGATTGTTGCGAATATATAAGCACCATAAGTGACATAATTGACATCGTCCAGATTAGACGTAATAATAACAAGGGTAAGAGAGTGGCCCAGAGGTTGGCTGACAGACAAGTCCGCCTTCCAGAAAAATCCTATTTGGATCATTGGAGGTTTTCAAAGGTGCAAATCATTAGACAGTGTAGAATGCAGTTTCTGTTCTGCATATGCGATCTTCGATAATACGGTAGAAGAAACACTGGCTGTCATATTCCTACCAAACCCGAGTTAAACGTGCCGCTAAGTTGGAGTGTCAAATCTGGTCACAGTTCGTCGCCTCTGAACGGAACTTTGTAGGCACCTGCTAAAATGTAAGCGTACGATAAGGTGAACGAGATTTTGGCTTCATGACGCCGGAATTCCTGGACAAGTACGTGCGGAACTCCAAAGGAACTGTATTATTTCGTGACGCTTCCCAAGTTGACTAGACAAACACTTGGCAGTCCCCGAAAAGATAAGATCTTTAGTGATATTGGTCCTAAAAGCCGCATTGGGTCAGCCGTTTGCCCCACTTTGTGTAGGATTTTCGTATTTAGATCTTCAGTCCTCGAATACTCGACGTCCAACTGATGCAGAGGTTGGAGGAAGGACAAATCAACGGGGAAGACCGACTTAAAATCAGAAAAAGCTCGGATGTTGCACCTAAATCTTAGGCAGCATCGGATGTCGACTTGTTGTCCTCCAGGGGAGCAATTTCTCTCCAAACGCTCTCTACCAGTAAGCTTCCTGATTAGCGGCATTGACTGCGTCAGAAAAATCATCATACACTGCACCGTTTACCTAGTCCGTTATATTCTTTGAGTAGAGCGGCATGAACTAAACTGATGGGTGTCCTAACGAATTCAGTTTCGAACTGTTCACGTACTCCCGCTGTGTTCTATCTTGAATCAGGGAATTATACCCCGCCCCTGTAGCGGCTTTCAACTAGATACGGATAACCTTCCTAATTGCTATTGACAAATATTATTTTCTCAGAGAGACGGGACTCGCGCGGATGTAGTCAAGCCGGAATTTTATCCCATTTATAGGCTTCGAACTCTCACCGTCTTGTCGACCGTACTATTCTTTCCATCCTCATAATAAATTCCAGTTGATAGGGTTCTATGTCAATTGGAAATATTTCCAGACTGGATAATTCTAGCAAGTGTGCCAGGGGGAATGTATATCGGACGTCCAACCCCTTCGCAATGCACCACCAGACATATCCGAGATTTTTCCTGAAAGTTGCATTGTCGAATAATTGGACCAAAGGGCCAGAAAGGGAAGAGGATGCGAAATTGACTGTCTTATGTCCTTTTGGAGCATCGAAGATCCTAGGCAGAAACACTTAAACGAATAGCAATCCGAGTAAATGCAATATGTTACAGGCAAATTAAACAATGAGAATGGCTACAATTATTTATTTCACAAGATATCGGGGGTGATACTTAATTAAAAGATGGATACTTCAGTCTTCACAGTTCACTAGCGACAAAGAGGCGCCTGTCAATAACACTCCTACACACTGGGATCGGTCAGGAAAGCTATATTACGATCCCTTTGCAGTTTTCGGGTTTGCGCTCGGGCGCAGATATAACAAGAGGAAGGATCGTCGAGTAAAATTAAGAGTAAACAGAGACTCGTGAAAAAGAGGGTGAGTGGAGAAAACAATTTGCTACAGTAGATCTAAGATGGCATTGCTAAAAGATCACAACTTTAAGACCTGGTACAAACAATGCGCGTGAAAACTTATTGCAACGTCTTTCCTGCCCTTTGCAAGAAGGACGTGATTGGTATCATCGGTACTAGCTCGCCTATGATTTATTTTTCGGGACGCTTAGCTTCTACAAGGGGGAGGGGGGTTAGCATCTTCCTTGACAAGAGTAGTCAGTATTCATCACGCACACGAACAGTTATAAAGTACTGTGGAAAACAATTGACACAAATTTATTATGTAGTACAGGTTGATGCGTATGATGCGAAATATACAAAGGATAACAAGAATGTAGAAAGCACAGAACTCAGGACGTGGAAGAGTTGTGTCGGCAAGTCGGGTATACGGTCATAGCTCCGGTAGGGCACATAATTTTCCCTTCCGAGCAACTCTAACAGTAGTTCGCATTTTGTTGCACCTTGGATGGGGACTGGGTAACATAACTGAATTGACAGAGCTGTTTAAGTAAAGCATAATTGCTTTGGCGCAGATCCAGGGTAGGGGACGGTGCAACCGCGTGTCAACGATGAGAGCCGGCGGGCCTTACCCACAACTGCCGATGCAGAAGAGGAACTTGGAGTATGATCCAGTTTGTGTTCTGATGGTCAACAACGCCAAGTTCGAATGAAGAGGTGCCTGACGCGAGGCTGTTTTTCGCTTTCCCACTTTTGTCCTCAGTCGAGGTGCGTGAAGAAACCGATCTCTCTTCCCTGGCGGCAGCTC